GTGACATCTATGTTGCTAAATAGAACGGAGCAGATGTTGATTTCTGGCACAGTCTGGCTACAAAAGTATGTCTGTGGTGCTGTGGTTTCCTCTGGGCCCTAAGACATCATAGTCGAGGTTCAAAGTGCCCAAATAAATGCCAGGGCTGTGCTGTATCCCATCAAGATGGTTTTTCATAGAATGAAACTGCAGGTGTATATTTTTGGTGAGCCCTAGTGTGCAGCATGAGGAGGAGCCAGACATCCCTGAGGATGCAAAGTTTGCTGAGATAGTGCTGAAGGACCATGGGTGGAGCCAGAGCTGGCTCTGAACTGTCCATACTGCCATGCCAGGCATTTCCTGGGAAGGTGCTGACGGGCAGAGGCCACAGCTCTATGATGAAAGGCATTTCCAGTTTGGCAGAGTGCACAGTTAATAGTCCAGAGCTTGAGTTTGATTCAGTTCTGGAATTAAACACACCTGATCTATCTCCAGGATAGATAGATAGATAGATAGATAGATAGATAGATAGATAGATAGATAGATAGATAGATCGATCGATCTCTTTATATCCGTCAGGCAGACTGTGTCACTCCACGTGTTCATGTGGGCTGATGCACAAGTTATTTTTCTGTGCTGTGGCTTTGACTTGTTTTTATCACACATAATATTTTTGTTAGTGGCACAGACTGACCCAGAGCACATAGTGAAACCACTCATCACAGGTACTGTGACATTTCTGGTGTCAGCTTGTGATGAAAGAGAGGCTCGATGGGGGGATTTCTTCAGGGTTGCTAAATATCTCCAGCTGCTCAAAAAAACTGCTGGAGTTGTAGGGAACGGCAGTTCTGAGGACTGGGCCTGAAGAAATTATTGCTGAGCATTTTGCTGTGCAAGGGAAGAAAAAGGGAGGGGATGGGAAAAGCGAGATAAGGTTTGTCATTCAAACTGCAACACGGAATAGCCTCACCTCATATCTTTAAATCTGCATCAATTATAATGCCTTGTTCACTTGCAAATTTCACTTTTAAGATAAAGAATCATGCCTGGTTTGTTTGCCATTCCTATAGCCAAAGACAAGCTTCACTTACTCCCCTTTTATTTTCAATGACTAAGACTGAAAGAGCTAAATTACATTTCCTCCCCCCTATGGAAACCTGATGAACCAGTGTGAACCTGCACCTGAGAACCCCCGGGAACGCCGAGGATTTGGCCACACAGATCGGACAGTTGGATGCTTAATTGCGTTCTGGGCACAAAGCCTGCTTGAATGTGCGTCTTTTATTAAGTGTGTGGGAGGCCAGCACAAAAAATTAGACCTCATTAAGGTGCCAGAAGGAGCAGAGTGGTGCAAAGGCGTTGCAGTGCCTGACTCTGCTGCGCTGGAGAGCGTCAAGCTGCCCATGTCAGGAGCCCTCTGAAAAATGTACCCTGAACATCAACCTGGAGCTCGTAAGTGAGACACAAAGATTTGCTGCAGGTGCTGGTAGAGAGAGGCCTGGATGAACAGTTCTTTATGGAGCTGATAAATAAGATCGGTGCCAGAAGCAAAAGCTAAGGGAAAGAGAAGCTGAAAGGATGTGAGTGGACCAGCAGAGCACAGACAGAGCAGCAGGAGTAGCTGAGGTGTGCTGGGAGCATGTACGCCCTGCAAGGGAGGTGATACCTCAACAAAAGGGTTCAGCCGGAGATGGAGGGGAAAACAGGATTTTGGTCAAGACAGGGAAGTGATGAAGAACAAGGACCAACTAGCATAATGGGATGAGTTCAGGAAGTGAAGATTTTGTTAGATAAAAGGGCCATGATTTTTCAATTTGTAAAAAGATTAAATTAGCGGTGTGGCATTCACTCCAGATCGGTGTTTGCACTTTCCCAGGCTTTGCAAAGTAGGTGATAGGGAGCCTCTTCTGGATGGGAGCCTCTTTGTTACTCTATGTATCTTTGCATGAATTGCTATGGATGCTTGTAGCAGGAGTAAGATCCCGGCCTCCCTTGGAAGTAAAGTAGCCACTTATGTCTCCCCCCTTTTATCATCTTGGTCACTCAGTGAAGATGCATTGTAGTGCTGGCACACAGATGTTTGCTGCTTGCATCAGTCATGAACAAGCATAGTGTGTTATAAACAGACCCGTTAATATTTTGAGTTTCAAGACCTTTTCAATCACCTCCTCATTATATTTCGTAGTCACAACCCAACAGAAGCACAATAAGCCAGTATAGTTAGCGTCCAATATATCTTGCGGTGCTCGCTCAGGATTTGTAACTCGGGGCTGTCCTCGGACTCTAAATCAGGACATGAGTGAAGTGCATTGAATGATCCCATTAATATAAATAGCACTGAAGTTAAAAGCAGGGCTCCGTGAAAGGACTTTTGATACACTGGCTACCGTCGCCCTCGAGTCAGCAGGTGGCATTATAGAACAATCAGGAATCACCAAACCTTCGCCGCTTCCCGCCCGCAGCCCCAGACCTGAGCCCACGGGGGAACGAGCATGAAACCCGCCTGTTCAGCACAGCTGAAACCGCACAATGAGCAGTTGCCAATTAGGGCCGGGGCTATTGTCTGAGAAAGGTCAAGTGTTGGCCTTTGCTGAAATCTTTCAACACCGGCTCCAGCGAGATTGGGACTTAATATATTTTATACAGCCAGAAAACTTGCTTGGCCCTACTAAGGGCAGAGCCAGCCTTTCCTCTGCCCTTCCCCCGTGTTCCCCGGGCCGGCAATACGTGCTGGGAAACCTCGGCGAGGGAGGAACCTGGCTTTTTAATCTGCTGCCACCTCCCTCCCTGTAGGTATTGTGGAAGAATTGAGTTGTTGGCAGGGTGGTAGAAAAGGAGGTGGTTTGGCAGTGTGGGCAAGGGGAGGGTGTTTGGGACTGGGTTTGTTTTACCATCTCCCAAGAGATTTTCTTTGTAACTCCAGTGGTACATGTTTTTACAGCTTACTACTTTTAGTATCTGTCACTTGAAAAGAATAGATGGTCTAGATACAGGGGGAAAAAAACATGTGCAAGCAGCAACACGTAACCAACAAAAAGAAAACTTTCCCATGAAATACCTAAGTTATACAGATGTTGCAGGGTGCTTAAGGAACCGCAGGTTAGGGAAAAACTCAGAGCTTCTGGCTACCTTGTGGATCCAGAGGCTGCAGATGAGAGCCTCCAAGCTCCCTGGGATCTCATGCCAGGTGATCTATCAGCCTAATGAGCTAAAGACACAGCACCTTGCAGCAGCTGCAGCTGGCAAGGACCCTTTCCCAGACCCCAAACCAGAAATCGGAAGTCCACATTTGCCTATAGCCCCAATCCTGTAATTAACTGCTGCATGGAAGGGCATTGCCTGGTGGGGTTCTTGGTGAAACAAGGGTTTCAACGTGCACAAAGGCAGAGGCGAATCCTCTCCCTTAATTCCCAGTGTATGATGAGCTACTGGTGTTAGTCCTTTTGCCCTTCCATTTGGGCCCAGCACTTATTGAGGCAGATGGTGACTTTCATTCCCAGCCCACAATGATTAGTGACTGTGGTGTCCCTGCGGGCCCTGGGCTACAGGGAGAGCAAGTTCAGTTTTTAAACCCCTGCACAAGAGCTGACCTTTGTTTCCACCAGTGACACACTTACGATGGGCTCAGGGTGGTCCTGGGGAGGACCTCAACCTCCCTGTAATTGCTGGTGACAACAACCACAGGCTGGCCTTGAACGTGGCCCACACACTTGTGTTGTCACCACTGCGCTGTGTGACTTGGTGAGGATGTTTTCCAGTGGGCACTGGCTTGGAGCCAGGCCACAGCCCAAGTTACTGCTTAAACCCACTGGTTTTAACGTGCTAATCCCCGAGTTTGAACTATGTCTACTCTGGGTGTGTGTGTGTGGTCTTGAAAACTCACCAGTCTACTTGCAAATTAAAAAAAGAAAAAAAAAATCCCTATGATATTTGCCCATTTGTTGCCATGGTGATGAAGGAGTGTGGGACAAAAGAAAGATATTCCGGTTGCCCCGGGCCTGTGAACAAGCAGAATCGGGGAGAGTTGGTGAGAATGTGCTGTTAATTGTAACCAGAAATGCAGCATTCAGCCACCATCACTGCAAAGTGTTCTTCAAACCCCCTTTCATGTCCTGCCGTAGCAAAATGACATCCTCTAAAAGCTGGGTGACATGAGCGCTGACAGCTGGACTTCCATCGCACCGGGCTAGACTTGGCCCATAAATTAAGCGAGCTGAAAATCCAGCCTTGCTCCCTCCAGGTATTCGTTTTCCTCACTTTATCGATAACCTGGCACGAGCAGATCTTGAACCAAATGTTATCTCGGCACTGCCAGGACTTGCCGGCAGCTGGAGGGGGAAGGCAGCGCTGCTGACTCCCAGAGATAACAGGTGGAATGCAACAGGCGCTGCTTTTGTCTGCCATGACTTGCAGTTAAAGCTCTCAGATGCTGCCAGGCCCTTTGCTGTAGCAGCCTGCAGACCTTGCTAGACAGAGCACCTTCCTGCCAGCCTGGACACATGCAGGCAAAAAGAAATCCGAGGCATTTCACAACTTCCAGCATTGGGGAAAAAAAAAAAAAAGCATAACCCCCTCTATAGAATCCCTTCCCCCATGCATTTGTGGTGATAAGGAGGCACGTTGCTGCTTCCTGGGTACAGAGTACAGGCTCAGAAATTAACTGTGATTGTTGGTTCTCTGTACATGCACAACATTTGGCATGAAAAGTGTCTGCATCTTCTGTAAATACCTCTTCAGTTGTGTGGAAGTGGTGGGTTTAATTTAAACCATGGCTGCTCCTACCTAACTTAAAAATAAAATAACATAAAAATAGAGCCACCCGAATCAGTGATGGTATCTTGGTCATGTTTATGCTACATACATACTGTTAAATTTGCTGCTATACAGATGGAGACCTGAAGCCCACTCTCAGAGCTACCTAGTTTGTAAAGTTTCAAAAGGCTGTTGGATCCATGTATATTGGATCCATGTATACTTGGCTCTTCTGAAAAATTATTTTCCTTGTCTCTTCTATTTGCAAGAACCCAGAAGACGATGCAACCTTCAGACCAATTCCACAACCATGGAAAAGCTAGTACCCTCAGTTCATGGGTGTGAGGATGCCCAGGCACAGTATTTTTAGAGGCAGTATTATATAGCTCTTGGTAGGTAAAATGGATTTTTCAAGAAGTTAAAAGATGGTGGGCCCAGATCAAATGCAGTCTAATTGATGTAGTTTTAAGTACAACACTGGTCAATATAAAGATCTAAGGATCTGGCTTATAGTCATCAGAGATGGAAAAATACTTACCAGATAAAGCTCTGCAAGGACAGAATCTAGACCCTCCTAACAGAGGACTGGCTCTCATCTTTTATTGTTTTCTCTTCCATTAGCTTGATCTTTGATCTCAGTTCCTGTTAGGAATATCTTTTAACAGTGATGAAGTTCTAGGCCATTAACCAGATGTACAACCTAGTGAGAAGATCCCTGCCACTAACAGACTGTCTGATAAAAAAAGACACATACAAGAGTAATGTTTAATAATAATAACAATAATAATATTTTTCAGAAAAGAAGACACAGCACTTTCATCTCCTGCAGGATCCATCTGTCACATTTGAAGCAAATCAAGCTGCTGGAAATGTGGTTCACAACAGACCTTTCAGAATCAGGCTCGAGCATCCAAAGCCAAGCTAACATTTTAGTTTAACAAATATAGGGGTTCAGTTCACCTGTATTCATTATTTGGTACTCATTCCACCACCAAGTTTTTGACAGAAAAGATCCTTGAACAACAGATATTGCAGAAACTGACCTTGTAACAGGGTGTTGTATTGGTTTTATTTTAGCCTTGGTATGTACAGAGTTCAAATCCCTAAAGCTTCCAGCCCCATACAGGTGACATTCTGGGAGCTCCTGGACATTAGCTCCCATGGCTAATGCTGTGGAAGGACTGTATTCTCAGACAGAGCTGCCTGGAAATCCTTCCCAGAAAAGATCTGGCTGAGCCCAGGATGATGATGTTCAGATAAAGCTGCAAAGTGCATCTTTTAATTCACAAAGTCTCCCTCTGATCTGACTGATACGTAAACCCACACAGGCAGTGTCCACTGAGGAAGGGACATTGGAAAAACCCAACAGTTTTACTCTAAGCTTTTATAGCCCAGTAATTTTGCACAGTGTGATTGGCAACACATAAAGGAAAGACGTGTGGAACAATCAGGTTAGAGACTGCAATTCTATATATTATATATCCATTCTTTATAGGCTCTGACTAAAGCATTATTTAGTCCCTTTCACAATCCTGAGTATTTAAAAGTTGAATGTTAAGCCTATCCCTGCAAAAATGAGGCAGAGAAGGAGATCTGCTTTAAATGTAGTCCTAATTACTGCTAGAGAGCTTTTATGAATAACAGACCATAGCACTTCCTATTGTTTTACATTTTGTGCTGTTTTAGAGACTCAGGAGTGATGTCATAACAGGGGGAAACTTGTCATGGACACACATTAAACCCTGAACACAAGGAGAAGACCTTTGATAACAGATATTTGGATACATAGACTGGTAATTCAATAAGGGGAGAAAATACTCTAAAGCAATGAATTAAAAATGAATTAAAGACATTTTTAGAGTTACTTACATGCCTGTCTCGGAAATTCTACCTCTGTTCAGAGAGGTATATGCTGAACTGCAATCAAATTATTATGTCCAGCTCTGCAATTTCAATCATTTATCCCATTTATAGGGGTCTTTTTGTCTTGAATTAGGCAAAATGTGAGCCCAACAGGAAATTAAGCAACCAAGCAAAATCAGGAAATTCACTCAAGTGGCTTAGCCAGTGGAATGCCACCGCTATCTTCAAACTAAAACTCCAAAGAGGTTGAACTGCAGTCGGATTTATTTTCAAAGTGGTTAATGTGCTTTTAATTTGTACAAGGTTGGTAACCAGGAAAAAAATACATTGCTCTCACGAAGCTTGCCTTTAATTTTATTCACAGAAGGCCTCAGCATACAGGCATAATGAGTTTAAAAATGCACCACTTGTAAAAAAATTAGAACAGCTATCTTAACGACAAAGTTTGAGATGCTTGTTTTAAATAAGTACTGTCTTTGGAACATTAAAAAAGAACTGAAACAGAAAAAATACACTTGAAGATTGCATTTCTTCCTCTAAAAAACATATTTGATGATAGCTCTCGGGGAGGGGAGAGAGAAATTCTTTTAGCTGTTTACAGTGGCCTCCCTGCATTTGGGACCTGCAGATCTGTATGCAGAGTATTTTAACTGATTTGTTTGGGAGGATGAGCTACATTTTTTGGTTCACAGAAAACACTCCACTGCCCTGAACCCTCAAAGCAATTTCTTGCTTGCAGATTACCATTATTTATCTACCCAAAGTATCTGGGAACTCTTGTGGTGGTCCAGGTCCCTGTTATGCTGGGCAGTGCACCAACACAGAATAAATTTATAATCCTTGCCAAGAGACAAGAAAAGCCAAGAAGTGTCCTTTGGTAGCTTCATAAGAAGACAGAGGTTCCATGGCTGATCTTTGTTATGATTCTGGTGGTCCTCATTGTGTTGATATATTGCAGTTTGAAATCACGGGCATTTTTTTTGTGATTGTAAATGTGTGTTGCTGCTTACGTGGCAATGCACTGTGCTTGCCTTTGACTTAAACTAAGCCGTGAGGTGCTTCATTAGCTTCCAGAAGAAGCCAGGGAGTCTCACCCTATGGGTGCCAGGTTTGGAGCACTGGAGCACCAATGCTGCTTTCTGAGCCCAGTACCTGTATCATAACTCTTCCTGCTCAGCTCCTTTCTGGGAATAAGGCTTTGTGCACAGCCTTCAACTGACTTGTAACAACTCCAGTTCAGTATTCAAATAATGGCTATAATCAAATCTCCTGTCTTTAACCAACAGTGTTGGAGATGAGGGAGAAAAAAAAGATTTAGAAGAGACATAAGGAAGAAATTTTTTATGATGACCGTGGTGAAGCACTGGCGCAGGCAGCCCAGAAAGGTGGTAGGTGTCCCATCCCTGGAAACATCCAAGATCGGGTTGGACGGGGCTCTGAGCAACCTGATTTAGTTGAAGGCATCCCTGTTCGTTGCAGGGGGGTTGGACTAGATGACTTTTAGAGGTCCCTTCCAGCCCAAACCACTCTCTGCTTCCATGATAACACGTAGCCACTGTTGCGTGTCATCTCTGCCTGTCTGTGCACACCTGTACACGATGTAACAGATTTAAAACCAGTTGGGCAACTTCAACTGAATTTGGTAAAGGTTTAGAGACCTTTTGGATGTTGCACACAATTCATGGAAGTAGCCAAATGCATAGAAGACACCCTTCAAATGCTCCCACTGAACACAAAGCTGCTTAATCAGCTCCTGCACTCTCAGACTGCAGAAAACGCAGCAAAGAAACCCTAAATGTGTGAAATTTTCTCCTACCCCAAGTGCAGAAAAAGATTCAGTCAGGACTTGCATCTTAGTCAGTCAGCCTCAAAACACATCCAAAAGACAGCAAGTTTCATTAAAACAGATTTTAAAATTTATTAGCTCCAATATTATCTCCTCCCTTCTTCAGAAACATCCAAGATGTCTCATAGCTCAAAACACAGAACAGTTTAAATGGATGCTTTGAAGTGATGAGGAAACCCCTCTTTCTACAGGACTGATGGATGTCTCTTGCTCTCTTGCACAGGGTTGATTGGGGGTCAGGAATACATTTCCCTCCCAGTCAGGGAAGCAAGGACATGAAGATTCATTAGTCTTTTTTTATCCCCTTCCTCTGCAGCCAACAGCCTGACTGACCTCCTGAATCATCCAGGCCATCATAAAAGCCTCAGGCCATGGTGATCACTCTTGTTTTCTGCTTGTGAAACACAGGTTACTCTCCTGAGAATAAAAATGCTTTAGTTTAATTGAAAACTTTGGGCTTAATATATGAGTATCTTTGTGAAATGTAAGGGCCTGAGGTAAGTCAAGGCCACAGTGGGTGATCTTACAGTGCAGTTTGTAGTGTCTGGGGGGCTCAAGAGGCAGAACATCCTTTGCTTGAGTGAAAGGTAGACAGTGGCAGAACAGGCTGCGAAGGGCTTTGAATGGAAAGATGAGGAGTGTGTGTTGATACAACAAAAATAGATTCACTGGAGAGTTAGGAGGAGGAGGCTCGTGTGGCTAAAGGACACTGCAGAGCAGAGTGAAGGGGTATGAATGGGATGAGATTGGATTAGTGGGGGAGGAAAGGGAGAGAAAATGAAAAGTTCTGTTTGAGTCACAGTGGGCTCGATCCGCCAGTGACATGTCTGGGACAGGATTTCTGACAGGATGCAATTTTAGCTGGAGCAGAGGAGGCAGGTCTGGGAGCATGAGGAAAAACGTGGCATTTGAATTGCCTTCTGCAGGGGAAATTATCCAGAAATATAAGATGTAGAAGACAACCCTTTAATACTTGACTATACCTGATTATTAATATGCACAAATCTTTGTGACGAATTCATGATTAAAATCTTGGGTATGTATCACTCTGTTCAGCTGAAACACAATGAAAATGCATCCCTAAATCCCTGGTTCGATTTGATGATTAAAATAGTTCCTGCTTTATCCAATCACAGTCCATTTAGGAATGAGATGGAGTGACACAGAGATATTCCTGGCTTTGTTTTCCAGTAAAGTTTCATGTTTGGAAGATCTTTGTTTCCTGGAAAATGGTAAAAGATATTAAGGCCTGATACCATGACACTGCCCACTGCACTTCTACCACTTTACAGCAGATTTTGAGGTAGAATAAGAGAAAATAATATCTATGCAGGTATAAACAATTCTTACATGATGAAAGTATTTATCCAGTGTGTTTACAAAGGAAAATTAATTTGCTAATTGCTGTCACAGATTTCTGGGAAAGTAAAAGCAGAAATGAACCAGAACAGTACTAACCAGCATCTCCTTAAAACAAAAAAAAAAGCAAACCAAAATGAAACAAAATCAACCAAACCCGAAACAAAACAAAAAAACCCAAACTCAACTCATAAAAAATGAGAAGCAGATGAAATGGCTCATATAGAAATTCTGTATTAAGGATGGTGAACCATAACAAGTGTGATACATTGTG